AGAAAGTAGAAGGTGAAGACTCAGGAAAAACAAGGTTTTTTTTTTTTCTATATGGTAAAATACAAGTTTCATAACAGGACAGAAATAGTAGTTCTAGGGACTGAGCCAGAAACAAGTTTATGCTGTGTGATGCAAAACAGGCGGCCCTTATATTCAAGGAGAAATAGGCAAGCCTCCAATTAGACTGCACATCGCCAGCCACTCTGAGTAATAAATGAAACCAGCAGAAGAAAGGAGACTAGAGGAACTCTGTCAACCAACTTGATCTAAGTGACGTTCAAGGCAACTCCACACAAGGGAAGCAGAGTAAACAATTTTTATAAGTGGATGGAAACTATTCACGATAATACACATCATCCTGAGCCCTTAATCAATGAAACTAGATGATTTAAAAATGAAGCTGTGGTCCTCATGTGGAACCTCTAACAACAGGAGCAGGGGCCTGCCTGATCCTTTTTCCCTCACTGGACTGCCTTGCCTAGCCTCAATAAAAGATGTGCCCAGTCCTACCACAACTTGATATGCCCAGGTGAGGTGAGTTGCTATCCGTGGAAGGTCTTCCCTTCTCTGAGGATAAAGAGAGGAGGGCATACGCAGACGGGGGGGGGGGTGGAGAGGGAGAGATTGGGAGAACAGTTGGGCAGGAAGCTCTAATCGGGATGTAACATAAATAAATAAATAAATAAATAAATAAATAAATAAATAAATAAATAAATAAGTAAGTAAATAAATGGATAGATAGATAGATAGATAGATAGATAGATAGATAGATAGATAAACATGATGCTAATTAAAATTAATATTCATTGAACAGTTATTTTATAAAATAAAATTACAAATTAAGCACCTCAATTTCCACATTTAGAGACTGAAAGATAGATAAATGAGACTCAGAAAATAAGATGAAAAAATGAACATAATAGAAATCAATAAAGAATAATCCAAATAAACAACAGACAATTTCATGAATCAAATATATTCCTTTGAGTAATTAAATGAAAGCTATAATTCTCTATCCATAACTATGGTTTAGAAAAGGGCCAACTGTGTATAGCAGGTATGCTTAACATGCTGAAAGGCACAGGTTCAATATCTAGGAACACACATGTAGAAATGGGAGTAGGGAGGAAAAGGGAGTGGGAGAGGCAAAGAATATTAGGGATACAACTAAAACAAGGCCTTCTGCTGAATCAACTGAGCAAGGTACGTATGAGCTCACAGAACTGAAGCAGCAAGCACAGCAGCAAGCAGCCTGTACCAGGACCTGTGCATATTATATATATATATTATAATATATATTATATTAAATTATTTATATAATTATATTATTTAATATTATAAAATATCATATAGTATTATATAATTATATATTATATTATATATTAATATATAATATAGTATTGTATTGTATTAATTATATTATATTATATTATATATTATATTATATTATATATTATATTATAGCTTTCAGTTGAGTATTTTTACGAGACTCCTGGCTGTGAGAATAAGTGGATCTCTGAGTCTGGTTCTTGCTCTTGGGACCCCTTTTTTTCTGTTGAGTTGCTGTGCCTAACTTCTTTTTATTTCTTAATTTTATTTTTCTTATTAGTTACATTTTGTTAACTCTGTATCCCAGCTGTATCCCACTCCTTTATTCCCTCCCAAACCCTCCCTCCCTCCCTCATCTCCTCCCTGCCCCTTTCCAAGTCCACTGATAGGAGAGGACCTCCTTCCCTTTCATCTGACCCTGTTTTATCTTCAGGACTGTCTGCAATGTCCTCCTCTGTGGCCTAACTTCTAAATGATCGCTTTTGCGTCATCTTACTATTATATTTTGTTTTGTCATGTTTGATTGTTATCTCTTAGAAGACTGTCCTTTTCTAATGAGAGACAGAAAGGGGATGGAACTGGAGGGGGGGAATGTGTGATGGGACTGGGAGAAGTAAAGAGAAAGGAAACTATAAGCAGAATATTTTGTATAAGAAAAAAATCTATTTTCAATAAAAGAAAAAAAAAGAAAATAAAAATAAAGGGAAAGAACCCCAGAAAAAAATCCACAGATAATATAACAAGAACAATGTTATAATTATGAACAATTCTGTTAATACTTTGACATCCTAGATTAACTTGTTAAGTTACTTAAAAGCAGTGGCTCTATTCCAATTCAAGAAGGTATAATTCTAGTTCAATACCATTTCAGAAGGAGGACCCAGGAACTATACTACTTTGAGTGGGAACTTTCTGAACATACTAAGTTGAAATGATTACAATTTTATACAAAATCTTGTAGATAAATGAAAAGGAAAATCTAGTCTTGAGAGACTAGAGTCAAACTCCCGTGAAGGCAGTGTTGCTCAAAAGAGCAAACACAGGAACAAAAGAAGAGTATTTTGGAAGTTTTAGGATGAAAATAGTCAATGATCTTCCCAGCATGTGGGAGCTGAGGTGACAAGAAATTTATGAAGTTGAGGTCATTTTGGGTAACATGGCAATTTCCCAGCCAGCCTGGCCTAAAAAGGGAAACCCTAGCTTGAGAATGAAAATATTATGACCAGGTCACACACACACACACACACACACACACACACACACACACACACACACACACACAAATCTTCTAGGCAATAAACCAAAATTATTGTCTGCACAAAAACCCTGTAAAATGGACAATGATGAACAAAACTCTTCTAAATGTCTGTGTTCATCTTTCATGAGGAAGTCTGTCTGAAAGTTCTCTGGGTAAACATCAGAAGGAGAGAGGCAGAATGATTGTGTGTGTGTGTGTTTAACGTCATGTAAAAATGCCAAATTGCCCTTCCAAGTGGCTGCACCGCTTTGCATTTCTACAAGAAATAAGGACTCCTGCAGCCCAAACACTTGAAATTATTAGTGTGTCCTGCTAGTTCATACCCCAAAGGAGGTATGAAAGCTTACAAGTACTTCAAAATACAATCCCTGATCATCCATCATCTCAGTTTGATCTTATCCTCAAAGGGGGAAACTTCTTACGAAAAACCCCTGTAAGAACAACTAAGAAATCCAAGTTCATGTTAAAATGTACTTTCCCAAAGACCTGTTTTTAGATATGCGTATTCAGAGTCATTTAAGTAAAAATATAAATGTTAATCTTTTGCAGCTATTTCTGATGTGAAGTTTCACACATGTGGCCCTGGAGAAACGGAAACTGGAGGTGGCTGTGTAGGTGTGTATGACATTATTTTTTATGTTATGTGATAGTGACTTCTGTGAATATGCTTGTTCTCTGGTTATGCAAGCATCACCAGTCTGATCGAAATATCAATAACTTTTTTATTGTGTGTGAGTAGAACATATCCCCAAGGCTGGTAGAAGCACAGAGTTTTAAAAAAAAAACTGTAAATATTGGCAGAATCATGCACAAGAAAATTTGGTGATTGAACTTAATTTTTATAAAAATGTATATGCATTTGTACTTATTGTTTTACTTCCAAAACTTTGCCTTCTAGAACTGTTCAAGAATGTGTGAAGCACAATAGTTGTAACAGTTTTTATAATACTAAAAAATGTTTTAAAACTATCGGCGATCACAGTTGGAGGATTTTTGTAAGTTTTTAGCCTCATGGGATGATCCTCTCTCAAAACAAACAAACAAAAATTAAGCCATTTCATCGTGTCTGTAGACAACTAGGATTCTTTAAAAGCAGGAGGTGTCATTTTCGTCTAGTTACTATAGCTAATATTTCTGAGCTACTACTCTGCACTCTTCCATCTGCACATCGATTTTGCAGGCCTCTTTCCCTGTCTATCTGCTATGAAAACATTATGCTGTCTCGAAGTCTCAACTTCATTAGAGCCTGTTATTTAAATGGTTATTATTTCCCTAATTTTTTAGACTGCAATATGAAAGAAAAAGCAATATTCCTTAATCATTGTAGCAGTAAGCACATGATATGATTATTGATCTGTTATGCACACTACGCCTGGATATTCTTAACTAGGGATCTGTATCAAAGAAAAAAAAAGCCATTTTTCTCCTTGAATGAATAACTCATTTCAGTTGGTAGTGGGGTACACTGAGTGGGTCCCAGCCTGTCTGTCCTGTATCAAATCCTGGGTTCAAAACCAGCACCACAGGAAGCAACAGGAAAATCTGTTTACTTTTTTGTTCACTTATTTCAGCCACTGTGATTATTTAAAACATTTGTATAATTACATAGAATTTAGGCTATATAAAACTGCACACAATTCGAAGTAACTTGAGCAAAAAGCTCACTATGACTATGGTCACTTGGCTTAAGGATTACTAAAATATTTGTAGCTGGGCACGCTTTCATCTCAGCACTTGGGAGACTGAGGCAGGAGGATCAAGAGCTTGAGGCTAGCATGAGCTAAGTAAGAAGACCCTTTCTAGGCTCCACCATGTTTGTTGTTAGTATGTTACTTTCAAAACAACTCATTTGCCATTAGTGTTGGGGATATGCTGTCTAGCAAAATAATGCTTTAAATAATCTGAAAGTAAGTTTCTTTATAGAAAAGGCCTCAAGACAATGTTTTTAAGAGTTTTCCAGTGTCTGTGTGACAGATCTAGAAAGTTACCTTTGTGATTGTCACCGAAGAATAATGTATGTGATAGAAAGATGTATATTTCAGACTATAGTAAAGCATCTTGTTAATTTTATTAGTCAGATATTTTTCTATTTCTAAAACAAAACAAAACAATCATTATAGACTTTTAGATTTAACTTTACAAATGCCTAGAATTAAAAACAAACAAACTTTGAACTCTTTAAACAGGTCCTAGAAGGAACTTCAGGCATATCTTTAGCCTCAGAAAAAAAACAGAAAAGAACAAGGCAATTGTCCAGCTCTTCAGTGTAGTGGTTCACTGACAAAATAATCACTGCACAATTAACAACTCTTTTAACCCAAAGTTAGGAGTTGAGTGAAAAGCAAATTATAAAATATTTACTTCATTTGATGCTGTGGTAAATAGTTAAAGACAAGATATTACAAAGTCTAGTTCCTAAATTCTTGTTTGTTCTATATTTTAGAAACGATGATTGCCTGAGGAATGTGAATCACTTCTTTTCACAATCCAGGCTTTGCGGAGGTTCCCCATGATTAATGTAAGGCTGAGCCATTACTCTGACGCCAATCAATATTCATCATAGTTTAAACAGGAGCGTTTCTCTTTGTTGCCTGTTAGAAAATAATCATTTTTCCCCAAAGTAGGGATATCAATTTTCCCTTAAAGTAGGTCCCAGACTGATAGTCGTTGGGTCCCTTTTCGCTGAGATTATTTTCTTTCTTCAAGATACCTGACTGACCCTCTGTGCTCTCTCCCTCCAGGCCAGCTCTCCATGCTGCCTCCCCCACCTCCAGGCAGGCCAAAGGTCACCGCAGAGCTGGTCGGTTCTCGGGTACTTTGTAGGTGTGCTTTTGATGTTTCCCCTGTGAACAACTCGGTAGGCTTTCTCATAGCCTGGTCTAGGCTTTCTTCCCAAGAAATCAAAGAAGAGCTGAGACAAGAAAGCACTGTTCAGGCATTCTCGCTTTTAGAATTTGACGGCATAAATCTCAGACTTGGAGACAGGGTATGTAAAAAATATATATTATATTTTCTTTTCATGACTATATTGGTTTCCAAAAACGGATTTCAAGCCAAACACTGAAAGCTGCTTTTGTCCTCAGAATATAAAGCAGCCTTGGCTTAATTTTTTTCTACTTGGTAATTGTGCTAATTCTAGCAACAGCTAGAAATATTAGTAATGTACTTTTGGTGACTATGTTTAGAGATTTCCTTTTCTCAATCTGCTGATTTTCAATGAATCTTTAAGACTGTATTTTTCTTTCAGATTTTAAGATTAAATTATTATATACTGGAAAGCAATGTTTTAATTGTTCTTTTTTTAATGCTTTCACGTTTTTATTAATTTATTTTTTATTAATTCCAATTTATTCACTTTGTATCCCACCTGTAGCCCCCTCCCACATTCCTCCCAATTCTACCCTCCTTCCCTCTTCTCCTCCCATATCCCTCCCCAAATCCACTGATAGAAGAGGTCCTCCTCCCTTTCTCTCTGACCCTAGCCTATCAGGTCTTATCAGGACTGGCTGCACTGTCTTTCTCTGTGGCCTGGTAAGGCTGTTAATTTTTCAATGGTATTAATGCCAATACAATTCTATCTTCTTTTAAATAAATATATATTAAATAAAAAGCACACTATACTTTACATTGAGGTCCAAATAATTAATATTTATGATTGAATTTTTCTTAAAATTTAGGCAAGTGTGTGAAATGTTTGGTACTTTATTATTTTCAAATTTAGTTTTCTTTGTTTTATCTTATGTGTGAGTGTTTTACCCACAAGTGTGTGTATGGATATGTGTGCATATATGTGTTTGAAGTCCATGGAGTTCAGAAAGGATATTTGATCCCTGACTCTGGACTTATGTAGAGCTATGAAACACTGTGTTGGTGCTGAGAGTGGAACCTGAGTCCCCTCTGCAAGAGCAAGTCTTCGTAAGTGCTGACCGTCTCACCACTGGCTCTTAACTTTATCATTTATTTACAATTGCCTTAAAGATGTAAAGATAATAATTTGCATGTTTTTTATAATGTCACTACTAAATGATTATTCCTTAACTGTATTCATAGATATTCTGCAGTGCCTCCGTCTTTTTCTTGGAGAAACCCGATGTGCAAAGTATAGCTGTCGAAAGCCAGGGATTTTTTGCAGGAATTAAGGTGTGTCGCAGTGAGTATGAACTGGAAAGGTTATTTACTGTGATTTGCCCATGATGGGTCCTGGCCCTCATGGTAGGCTGAATCAGAAAGCTTAAGCTACATAGTCTGCAGTTTTGAAGAATAACCTGAATGACACTCATGTACAAGGAAGCCTGAAGACACATGGGAATGAGCTGATTCGGGGTGCTCCTTGACTTTTGATGACACTGTGTCTCAGTAAGCTCATCGCAAATTTAAAAAGGGGGGGGGGCAAGTCAAAAATGCATTTGCTGCCACCAAGTTGCAGGCATCATAGCTTAGCCATAAGCACACTGTGGTGTGCTGGATGTTTACTCTTTGTTGCCCACGGCTCACTGGAAGCTGTAGATGGCTGCTATCACCTAGCATCTTGAGAAAGTGTGTTGCAGAATATTGCGGCTCTCAGGAAAGACTAAAAGAATTCAAAGTACAACTCTTACTGAATGTAAAATTGTCTGCCCTGATAAAGCGAAGTATCATGATTCATGAACCTGTGGGAGGAGGGGCCAAAGCAATAGCTCAAACTAGGATAAGCCAAAGGCTCTGTTTTTGTAAGTCATTCTACTAGATAGTTGACTATGTATTATCAGAGTGCCACTACTTGGCTGTTGTAAATGCTTGATGACAAGTATCAGGTGGAGGGCTGGCACCTGTGACTTGAGCAGAAATGACTCACGCTTCTGGCTTTACGGATTGCCATGACTGTGCTAACCAAACAACATCTTTTTTGGTTCCTGCTGGTCTCACTGGATCTAGAGCGTGGCGAGTTATTCCACCAGGTAAGCAGAAGTGTCAGGGAATCATGTCAGTGGAAGACACTGGGCAGCATTAAGACGTGGAAACTGGAAAGCAGGGATCTCACTCATGAAACTGGAGATGCCACTGGATCCATTTCTCATTCAAAGATAATATAGGAAAGTACACAGATGTGAGGATAGGACTTAGGGATACGATGAAAACCTTTGTCTAGGTAAGGTCCATGTAGATGTGGACAGAGCTCCGGTAGAGGAGATGGAATTACATTGTCAGAAGAGATAGCAGTGGGTGAGAAAGCCGAGCTCCGACTCTGGAAGAGCAGCAACCTTTTCATTTGCATTGGTAGGTGCACAGCTAGACAATGTCAGGGGTCAGCCACTGTTTCCAGTTAGACTATCAGAGAAATAGCACTAAGAAGCCATTCTTTGGAGAGACAGCTAAGACTTGAGGCTATGGGAATAACAGGAGATCCCTGCTTCCATGTATGACTGTCTTGTGGACTGGAGTGGATTCATGCTGTCTAGCAATAGATCTCAGGAAGTCTAACTTAGAAGGAAAAGGTCAGAAACAAGCTGAGGAGTGGAATAATGAACGTGATGACAAAATTTTAATTTATGTGGTAAGTTGTACATACATTTCAATGGTGACAATAAGTCTTTGAAAATAACCAGGTTCTTCTTTGGTTTTGTCAATAATCATTAGCAAACAAATGAGAAGAAGTCCCAATCACCTCTCTTCCTCCATCCTCCAGAATCAATGGAGCCAGCTTGGTCGCATGCCTGTCCAACTAATGCTGAGGAAACAATTGAGCCTAAACTCAGAGAGGGCCTGGTACTGAAACTCTCTGGATGCCACCAGAAGTGGCTTATATTTTTTTTACCAGTTTGATGTTAATTGGCCTAGTTTAGTTAAATAAGACTGAATGCTTGTGTTACTAATGGCTCACTGAGCAAAAGAGAATCTGTTGAGAAAAACATTTTCAAAATTAACCCTTATAATACCTTCCGTTTGAACTTAACTTGCTGTGTTTTCTCATACTAGTTAAAACCTGAACTAAGCACCATCCTAGAAGATGGAAAGGACCACCAGCTGAGGATAGAGAGTACAATTCCTATTGTTTGCTCTGAATTTAGTGAGCTTGATCAAGGATGCAAAATCTCTCTAAAACTGAAAACTGTCGAGCAAGGTAACACACTAAATTCATTTTGGTTTATTACATTTCAGAGAATAACTGATCCTGGTTCTCTTTTATAGTAAGTCCCTAAGCTGTACTCGGAAATGAAATGTTTCATGCTTACATCAGCTAATGGCTCCGTGGCATTAATGATCTGATACAAGGCCGAACTGATGAGTAGCTAAGGGCTTCTTGCACCGACCCCAACACCACCACTCCAGGGCTCAAGCAGGCTAGTGAGCTATCTTCTCTTTTTTGGGATGTGTCATCTTTCCTTTAACCTCCACTACTTCTTCCCAACTTTTTATTCTCTTTGCCTTGTTTTTAGAGATGAGGGACAAGCAGCTCTTTAGTTTTCCAAATCGCTTTCACTGAGGGAGGAGCGATGTGCTCAGGGTTGAAGCTTCTGGAACACGTGTCTCATAGTGCATTCTTCACACTTCTCTCCCCAGTGTAAGCTCCATGTGGGACATTTGTCTTAATGTTCTTCCATTTGAATGACTAATCCCATGGGTATCATGATGCATGACCATTTATAAATTACTACCAAGGCAATATAGAGAAGGAAATTGCTCCCTAGAGCAAGACAGAGCAGACAAGAGAGCAAATCACGTATAGCTGTGGCTGGGCTGGTTGAGTTTCTTCCCAATTACACCTCTGACCAAAGCAAGAGATTTTTCTGATTAAAACAAAATCTGTAAAGGCTGATCATAGTCCTGCTTACATATCATATATTCTTCATATAGCATTTTAAGTAGATCCTCAAACACAGGGTACCTAGATGCTGATGGCTTTATAATCTAACTGAATCAGAGAGGTAAAAAGGTTAACAGGCCCAGATTAGTTTCCTGCCAGATGCATAGAAAAGTGAATCAAAAGGCAAAAAAAAGGAGCTCAAAGATGTCATGCTAAGGTACTTGTCAGTTACATGTTTAGGAGATACCTAATTGGGCACTTAGATTTCTGAAGGCTTGTGACATAGTGAATTTTTATTACAGTTCAGACCCTGTGATACAATAGAGAGGACTTAGACCCCCTGCTCAGAGGAAGCCCATTGGCTGCTCAGTTTCCAAGTGGATTCCCTGGTAAGGGGTACAGGGACTGTCTCTGACATGAACTCAGTGGCTGGCTCTTTGATTGCCTCCCCCTGGGGGCTGCAGCCTTGCAAGGCCCCAGAGGAAGATGATGCAGCCAGTCCTGATGAGACCTGATAGGCTATGGTCAGCTAGAAGAGGAGGAGGTCCTCACTTATCAGGGGACTAGGGAAAGGGAATAGGGGTAGAAGAGGGAGGGTGAGTGGAACTAAGATGAGGTGAGGGAGGGGGATACAGTGGGGATACAAAGTGAATAAATTGAAATAAATAAATAAAAAGAAAAAAGAACCAAACAATACCAGTTCAAACTACTTCTGGGAAGCACAGACACGTAACTACTGATACAGTCCAAATTTGTGTTAAGCAAAAAATTATCTTGATTAGAAGTATATTTTTAAATATATTTGCACTCTCTCAATTTCTTTAATTAAGGCAAGTACTGCTATAATGACATAAATGCAACCTAACAATGCTGTTGTATCTGAGAATTTTGTGTGTTTCTATGCTTTGTCAATTAACAGTTTCTCTATTTTTAGAGATAAATTTCTCTTTTCTTTCTGGGTGCTCTTTCCCTTCTCTGCTGCCCAGTGTCCACATGGACAGAGTCCACGTTGTTGATGTGTTCCTACAGAGGCTGTGCAGCTTTTGCACAGTCTCCTCGAGAACAACCTTGGGCCTCACATTGTAAACTTGGGAAATGAAGCCATAGACTGGACCTAAGCCACACATATTCACATTCCCCTCAGGGAGCTGGCTAATGAATTTGGATGTTTCCATTCTTTTTATATGTATAAGAAAAATGTGTTTCTAGGAAAACATAAGGTGAGTGGTGGTGGATCATGCCTTTAATCCCAGGAGTGATGAGGCACAGACAGGGAATCTCTGAATTCAACAGCAGTCTATCCTACCTACTTCCAGAGAAAACCTTGTTTTGAAAAAAGAAAAAGAAGAAAAAAATTTCTCCTAGGATCTTGAACCTAATAGGTGACCACTATAATTTCTTTTTTTAATTAAATTTTTATTTTTATATTAATTACAGTTTATTCGCTTTGTATCCCAGCTGTAGCCCCCTCCTTCATTCCCTCCCAATCCCACTTTCCCTCTCTCATCTCCTACCATGCCCCTCTCCAAGTTCACTGATAGATGGAAGGAGGACCACCCCTTCCGTCTGACCCTAGCTTATCGGGACTCATCAGGACTGGCTGCATTGTCGTTCTCTGGGGCCTGGCAAAGATGCACCTCCCTACTCCCAGGGAAAGGTGATCAGAGAGCCATCCACTGAGTTCATGCCAGAGACAGTCCACGTTCCCATTACTAGGGTACTCACTTTGAGACTGAGAGGCCATGGGCTACATCTGAGCAGTGGTTCTGGGTTATATCCGTGAATGGTCCCTGGTTGGAGTATCAGTCTCAGAAAAGACCCCTGTGCTCAGGTATTTTGGTTCTTTTGTTCTCCTTGTGGAGATCCTGTCCTTTCCAGGTCTTACTGTCTCCCCCTTCTTTCATATGATTCCCTGCACTCTGCCCAAAGTGTGGTTATGAGTCTCAGCATCTGCTTTGATACACTGCTGGGTAGAGTCTTTCAGAAGCCCTCTGTGGTAGGCTCCTGTCCTGCTTCTCGTTTTCTCCTACTTTGAATGTGCATCCCATTTTTCTTTCTAAGTGAGGATTGATCATCCCAGGGTCCTTCTTCTTGCTTAACTTCTTTAGGTGTACAGATTTTAATATGTTTATCCTATCTTTTAGGTCTAGTATCTACTTATAAGTGAGTATATACTGTGTGTGTCTTTCTGCTTCTGGGATAAGGGTGATCTTTTCTAGATCCCACCATTTGCCGCAAATTTCATTAATTCCTTGTTTTTAATTGCTGAGTAGTATTCCATTGTGTAAAAGTACCGCAACTTCTATATCCATTTCTCCTCTGAGGGACATCTGGGTTGTTTCCAGGTTCAGGCTATTACGAGTAAAGCTGCTACAAACATGGTTGAATAAATGTCCTTGTTGTATACTTGAGCATCTTTTGGATATATACCTAGGAGTGGTATAGCTGGATCTTGAGGAAGCACTATTACTAATTGTCTGAGAAAGTGCCAGATTGATTTCCAACGTGGTTGTACAAATTTACATTCCCACCAGCAATGGAGGAGGGTTCCCCTTTCTCCATATCCTCTCCAGCATGTATTGTCACTTGAGTTTTTGATCTTAACCATTCTGACGGGTGTAAGGTGAAATCTCAGGGTGGTTTTGATTTGCATCTCCCTGATGACTAAGGACGTTGAGTAGTTCTTTAAGTGTTTCTCTGCCATTCTATATTCCTCTATAGAGAATTCTGTTTATCTCTGTACCCCACTTTTTAAGATTTATTTATTCATAGTCTATACAATGTTCTGTCTTCATGAACACCTGCACACCAGAAGAGGGCACTATAGATGGTTGTGAGCCACCATGTGGATACTGGGAATTGAAGACCGGACTTCTGGAAGAGCAGCCAGTGCTCTTAACCTCTGAGCCACCTCTCCAGTCCCTGTACCCCACTTTTTATTTGATTACTTGATTTGTTGCTTTTTAACTTCTTGAGTTTTTTATATCTTCTGGATATTAGACTTCTGTCTGATATAGGGTTGGTGAAGATTCTTTCCCAGTGTGTAGGCTGTCTTTTTGTTCTGACGACAGTGTCCTTTGCTTTACAGAAGGTTTTCAGTTTCATGAGGTCCCATTTATTGATTGTTGATCTTAGAGCCTGTGCTGTTGATGTTCTGTTCAGGAAGTTGTATTCTTTACCAATGAGTTCAAAGCTCTTCCCCACTTTTTCTTCTAACAGGTTTAGTGTGTCTGGTTTTATGTTGAGGTCTTTGATCCACTTGGACTTCAGTTTTGGGCAGGGTGCTAAATATGGATCTATTTGCATTTTTCTGCATGTAGACATCCAGTTAGATCAGCACCATTTGTTGAAGATGCTGTCTTTTTTCCATTGTATGTTTTTTACTTCTTTGTCAAAAATCAGGCTATCCATCTGTTTTCATTTTCTATTACTGTTTCCTCTCAAACTTCTTTCCCTTTTTCTTTGTTACTTAAGCAGAAAACCATGTTGAGGTTCTGAATATATTCAGACTCTTATGAGGGAAATAAGATTATTAGCCATGATCACCGTCAAGAGAACCATGCCATTTTCTTATTAAATGTTTATGTTAATACTTCATAGCATATATGTGTATATATATATATATATATACATATATATATATATAATATGTTGATGGAATCATGGCACTAAAATGTTCATAGCTTTATCCCACCTGTGTTATTTATTGCTTTTGAATTATATCTAGATGCATATGTGTTTGTAACTTTATTGCAAATATCAGTGAGTATGTATTTATATATGTTCATACATATTTAAAGTTAATATCAATCTATAATGATCAAGTAGATTCAGTAGCTTTATTTTAACTTAGACAAAAATTACAGTAATTTTTAAAGAAAAACATTTAAAAATAATATGGTAGTCTAATGTTTCATAGTGATCATGTAACTACATTTGATTTGTATGTACGTGCAAAAACTTAAAATGTCTTTTTTTTTTCCCTCTAAATAGATAAGGAGCACCTAGGCTTCAATTTGGCATTGTCTTCCTGCCACGTGGACCTTCACCAGGATTCCTGTGCCAATGGCATATGCAGCCACGCCATAGTGTACTACACTGCTGTGACAGACCCTTCCCGGGATGGAGAGAGAGTCACACACGTCCTTGTGGACCCGATAGTTAACGATGTTTACCTGTGGGACAGATACACTCCAGACAGCGTCCAGGTTGACCGATCAAAAAAAAAATCATCTTTACTACTGAAGATTTCAAAAGATATATTTGTGCCACAATTAGTTTTTTAATTTAAAATTTCTTTAATGAGGCTTAGGAGTTGGCCAAAGGGCTAGGTATACTTTCTTGACTTCTAGAGGACCCAAGATTGGTTCCTAGAGCCACGTGGGCCAGCTAACACCTGCCTGTAATTGCTGCTGTAGGAGACCTGATGCCCTCTTCTGGTCTCTGTGGTCACCTGGTCACCCTTGGCACATATTCAGTTATACAAATGAATTATATAAATAATTAACCTTTAAAATTACTTAATTTTTTATTTTTGAAATAATTCTATTTTAAGTAACTATAAGAATCTATTGCTATTGATTCCAATTTCTAAATAACTTATTACATATCACTAGCCAACAACCGTGTTAATGTTCGAATATTTCTTTCCTTTGCAGATCAAAGTCAAGGACGTCCCATCTGCTTACTGCTATTCATTCACTGACCCACACATAATCACCTTTGATGGCAGGTACTGTCCTGAGCTTTTCTTCTTTCAGTGGCTTTTGCCACTGTTTTGTTTTAATTGTCACACTTTTTTTATCATTTCTTTGTCTTTATTAATGATTTGTACTTTTACTGCTTTATTTCCAGATACTAGTGTATTTGTGTAGGATAATTTTGCCTTAATTCCATCCTTTTGTAAATAATTCAGAAAACCAGTGAGCCTATTTTTTTTAATTATTACAGGTGAAGATAACCTTTGAGATTTATGTGAAATGACTAAACTAATTCATTAAATTTAGTTTAACACTAATTACATTTAATTGATTAATAAAATGTTTATTTTTGAAAATTTATTTTTTTCTACCATAAAAGCCTTTGTGATTGTTTCTGAAATTTAAGTAAAATGTTCAAAGTACTGAAAAAAAGGACCAAAATGACATTGCCTTTAATATCCTTGTAGGAAGATTTAAGCTCTCCTGGGAGCCTCGTCATGGTAAGACATCCTTAAGAAGATGTCTAGTAAAAACTAACTTTACGATACGTGACAGGTGTTTTAAACAATATGATAGTTGTCGGGAAGACTATTCGTGAGTGAGTAGTTGTAGAACCCTTCCTTATAAATCACACTCCACATGCTTTGATGAGTATTGAAACGCTGTCAGGACTGATCATGTATGCAGAAATATTTTATGGCCGCATTTGGAGATTTAGATGCCTTGGTGAGGCAAGAAAACATGGTGGTGCTATGCTTAATCTGTGTTATTTCAGTGATATTAGTTGTAAAATACCAGGTGACAAGCCTTTTTGTGCGTGCCGAGGGTAAGGCAGTGAGTGAAGACAAGGACTCTCTCTGTCCTGTGCTGAACTTTGGATAGGAGAAGAGAGACAGTAGCACAGTTAACAGCAACAGTAGTGTAATAAAACAGTGTTAGAGACAAACACGTGCCGGGAAGATAATTAAGACAGGTAGAATAGAGGGGATGAAGTAGAGTTTATGATTTTATTACAAGAGATTGGTTATTGAAAGCCATTAAATAGTGGTCATGTTGGACAACATGGTAAGGAAGACAGCCAAGCGTATTCGTACTTAGCAAGAATGTTCTCCTTGAAGAATTAAGCCTAGGATTCAGAGAGAGTTGTGGGAAAGAGTTAACGCAAGGGGGCGGAGCCAAGATGGCGACTAGCACACACAGTTTCCGAGCTGTGGAAGAGATAAAGTTCTGAGTTGATGAGTGGAAGAACTTCTGAAGCCAGGGAAACAACGGAGAGACTTTCTAAACAACAGGGAACATCGCAGGAGGTGAAAACCTTGGTCTGGGGTCACCCAGGGACTTGTTTGGGGAAGGTGAGAAACGATCCTTTGATCTCTCGGCACTCCCCTCCCCCAGACCTCCCTCCTCCTCGGCACAGCGGACTCACCTCTCTCAGCGCAGACCTAACTGCCTGGAGCCTGCAGCCACTGAGGCGGAGCCCCAAGCCCTTTATCGGCAAAGTCCAGCAGTACTGTGTCTCGGAGCCCCAGATTCAAGCGGTGGCTGCACCATCCTCCCAGGGTCTGAGTCTGCTAGACGCCATACTAGCTCCGCAGGAGCGCCATCACTGACGGTACGGCCCGCCCAATCCCACAGTGACAGAGAATACGCTATATACTCACCAAAACCAGACAGAAACGCCATACAAGCTAGACACACCAGGCGCTGGGCCTCCGAAGCTTGGCGAGCACAGTGAAGAGACCCCAGGACTTCCCAGAAAGCATCTGGACTAGCAACCCAGTCTCCAGTTACAGCGGGACTTTCTAACCTGGCGGCGGAGCAGCACTGAGCTGGCGGGGCACATCAGCCCTCCAGTTTAAGACTAACCAGGGCCAAACCAGAGAACAGAAAGCCTGGTTACCCCGATTCCTACTGACGTGACCACCTTGAAATCTCCAGTTGCAGCAAGACCTCATAAACTGGCAGTGACAGCAGCACGGAACTGGCGGAGCACATCAAAGAAGCAGGGCCAAACCAGAGAGCAGAGAGCCCAGATACCCCAATCTCTGCCAAGTGACCTGCCTGTACAGCTAGTCCTCAGCACACGCTAAGGACACGGGACCTATCTCAACTTCCTGAAGAATTCTCCAGACTCGAGAGAGAGACAGTACCAGTCTGAATCCAAAAACAAACAGGGAAGGTCTCAGATAAGCCAATGGCCAGGGGTAGGCGAAAGAACACTTCCAACATAAATCAGGACATCATGACTTCACCAGCAAACCCCAAAATCGATGAATACTCCAATTCATCAGAAGCACAGGAAAATGACCTTAAAGCCATGCTTGCTCAATTATTTGAGGCTCATAAGGAGGAAATGAACAAATCTTTCAAAGAGTTGGCCAGTCAATTGGAGGTAAAGAAAGAAGAAATAGACAAAACCCTTAAAGAAACACAGGTAAACATAGCCAAACAAATAGAGGCACAAGTAGAGAAAAAATTAGTGGCATACAAAAAGGAAATGAACAAAGAAATAGAGTCCATCGTAGAGAGACAGGAATCCAAATTCAAACACATGAAAGAAATGGTGCAAGGCATGAAAACAGAATTAGAATCAATAAAGAAAACACAAAATGAGAAAACTCTTGAGCTGGAGAACTTGGAGAAAAGATCAGGAACCACAAAAGTAAGCATCACCAACAGAATACAAGAGATGGAAGAGAGAATCTCTGGAGCTGAAGACACACTTGCAGAAATTGATACTTCTCTCAAAGAAAAAGTAAAATCAGAAAAATTCCAATCACAAAATATCCAAGAAATCAAGGATGCTATGAAAAGACAAAACCTAAGAATAATAGGAATTGATGAAAAAGAAGACTCCAGGCTCCAAGGTCCAGAAAATATTTTCAAGAAAATCATAGAAGAAAATTTTCCCAACTTAAAGAAATGTCCATAAATATACAAGAGGCCTACAGAACTCCAAATAGACTAGAAAAGAAAAGAAACACATCACATCACATCATAGTCAAAACACTAAATCTACAGAACAAAGAAAAGATATTAAAAGCAGCAAGGGAAAAAGGCCAAGTAACATATGAAGGTAGACCTATCAGAATCACACCAGACTTCTCATCGGAAACCATGAAAGCCAGAAGGGCCTGGGCAAGCATCATGGAGACTCTAAGAGATCACAAATGTCAACCCAGACTACTATACCCTGCAAAGCTTTCAATCAACATAGATGGAGAAAACAAAATATTCCATGACAAAACTAAATTTACGCAATATCTATACAGCAAACCAACCCTACAGAAGATACTAGAAGGAAAACTCCAATCCAACGAAAACGAATTCACCCAAGAAAACAGGGCATACAGATAATATCCCAACAAAAATGAAAAGAAAACAAGCAATGAAACAGGGTAAGATCATCGACTCCATTACAAAAGGAACTAACATGCATTGGTCAATATTATCTATCAATATTAATGGACTCAACTCACCAATAAAAAGACACAGGCTAACAGAATGGTTACGGAAACAGAACCCAACATTCTGTTGCATCCAAGAAACACACCTATGCAACAAAGATAAACACTACCTCAGAGTAAAGGGCTGGAAAAATGTTTTTCAAGCAAATGGTTCCAGAAAACAAGCTGGAGTAGCCATCCTAATATCTAATAAAATAGACTTTCATCCGAAGTTAATCAAAAAAGATAAGGAGGGCCACTATATTCTCATCAAAGGAAAAATCCACCAAGAGGACATCACAATTTTGAATATCTATGCTCCAAATACAAGAGCACCTACATTCGTAAATGAAACAATATTAAAGCTTAAATCATACATTGATCCTAATACCTTAATAGTGGGAGACTTCAACACCCCACTCTCATCAAGGGACAGATCAACCAGACAGACACCAAATAGGGAAATAAAAGCACTCACAGAATCCCTAAATCAAATGGACCTAATAGACGTCTACAGATCTTTTCACCCAAACTCAAAAGAGTACACCTTCTTTTCAGCACCACATGGAACCTTCTCCAAAATAGACCATATAGTTGGTCACAAAGCAAGCCTCAACAGATACAAAAGGATTGAAATAATCCTTTGTATACTATCTGACCACCATGGACTAAAGCTGGACATCAACAACAACAGAAACAACAAAAAGCCGACACGCACATGGAAACTGAACAACTTACTACTCAATGACAGCTGGGTCAAGGAAGAAATAAAGAAAGAAATTAAAGACTTTCTAGAATTCAATGAAAATGAAGGCACAACATACCCAAATTTATGGGACACATTGAAAGCAGTGCTCAGAGGAAAATTTATAGCACTAAGTGCCTACAAGAAGAAATCCATAACATCACATACAAACAACTTAATGGCCCAACTGAAAAACCTAGAAAAAAAAGAAGCAGATACCCCCAAGAGGAGCAGACGGCTGGAAATAATCAAACTAAGGGCAGAAATCAAATAAAATTAGAACAAATAAAGTTAGAAACAAATAAAATTATCCAAAGAATCAATGAAACAAAAAGCTGGTTCTTTGAGAAAATCAACAAGATAGACAAACCCTTAGCCAAACTAACTAAAAAACAGAGAGAAACCATACAAATCAGCAAAATCAGAAAGGAAAATGGGGTCATAACTACAGACACTGAGGAAATCCAAACGATTATTAGGTCATACTACAAAAGCCTATATGGCACAAAATTTGAAAATCTAAATGAAATGGATAACTTTCTTGACAGATTCCATCTACCAAAATTAAGTCAAGATCAGGTAGAAAGACTGAATAGTCCTATATCTCCCAAGGAAATTGAAGCAGTCATTAACAGTCTCCCCTCCAAAAAAAGCCCTGGACCAGATGGCTTCAGCGCAGAATTCTACAAGACCTTCAAAGAAGTACTAACACCAATTCTCCTCAAACTATTCCATAAAATAGAAACAGAAGGAACACTACCAAACTCATTCTATGAAGCCATAGTCACTTTGATACCTAAACCACACAAAGATCCAACAAAAAAAGAGAACTTCAAATCTATTTCTCTTATGAACATTGATGCAAAAATACTCAATAAAATACTTGCAAACCGAATCCAAGAACACATCAAAGATATCATCCACCATGACCAAGTAGGCTTCATCCCAGGAATGCAAGGGTGGTTCAACATATGGAAATCCATCAATGTAATCCACCACATAAACAAAATGAAGGAGAAAAACCACATGATCATCTCCTTAGATGCTGAAAAAGCATTTGACAAAGTCCAACACCCATTTATGTTTAAAGTCTTGGAGAGATCAGGGATACAAGGCACATACCTAAAGATAGTAAAGGCAATATACAGCAAGCCTATAGCCAACATCAAACTCAATGGAGAGAAACTTAAATCAATCCCACTGAAATCAGGGACAAGACAAGGCTGCCCACTCTCTCCATATCTCTTTAACATTGTACTTGAAGTCCTAGCCAGAGCAATAAGACAACTAAAGGAGATCAAGGGGATACAAATTGGAAAGGAAGAGGTCAAAGTGTCACTATTTGCAGATGATATGATAGTATACATGAGCGAACCCAAAGATTCAACCAGAGAACTTCTTCATCTGATAAACACCTTCAGCAAAGTGGCAGGATACAAAATCAACTCAAAAAAATCAGAAGCCCTCTTGTATACCAAAGACAAAAAGGCTGAGAAAGAAATTAGGGAAACAGCACCCTTCACAATAGCCACTAATAACATAAAGTACCTTGGTGTGACTCTAACCAAGGAAGTGAAAGACCTGTTTGAGAAAAACTTCAAGTCTTTGAAGAAAGAAATTGAAGAAGATCTCAGAAGATGGAAAGATCTCCCATGCTCATGGATTGGTAGGATTAACATTGTGAAAATGGCCATCCTGCCAAAAGCAATCTACAGATTCAATGCAATTCCCATCAAAATACCAACTCAATTCTTTACAGACCTTGAAAAAAAGATTCTCAGCTTCATATGGAGAAACAAAACACCCAGAATCTCCAAAACGATCCTGTACAACAACAGATCATCTGGAGGTATCTCCATTCCCGATCTCAAGCTGTACTACAGGGCAACAGTAATAAAAACTGCATGGTATTGGCATAGAAACAGAAAGGAGGATCAATGGAATCGCATAGAAGACCCAGAAATAAACCCACACACCTATGAATACTCAATATTTGACAAAGAAGCCAAATCCATTCAATGGAAAAAAGACAGCATCTTCAACAAATGGTGCTGGACCAACTGGATATCTACATGCAGAAAAATGAAAATAGATCCATATTTATCACCCTGCACAAAACTAAAGTCCAACTGGATCAAGGACCTCAACATAAAACCAGATACTCTAAATCAGTTGGAAAAAAAAGTGGGAAACAGCCTAGAACTCATTGGCGCAGGAGACAACTTCCTGAACAGAACACCAACAGCACAGGCTCTAAGAGCAACAATCAATAAATGGGACCTCATGAAACTGAAAAGCTTCTGTAAAGCAAAAGACACTGTCATCAAAACAAATAGACAGCCTACAGATTGGGAAAGAATCTTCACCAACCCTTTATCTGACAGAGGGCTAATATCCAGTATATATAAAGAACTAAAGAAGCAGAAAAGCAACAAACCAAGTAATCCACTTAAAAAATGGGGAACAGAGCTAAACAGAGAATTCTCGAAAGAGGAACATCGAATGGCAGAGAAACACTTAAAGAAATGCTCAACCTCATTAGCCATTAGGGAAATGCAAATCAAAACGACCCTGAGATTTCACCTTACACCCATCAGAATGGCCAAGATGAAAAACTCAAGTGATAGCACATGCTGGAGAGGCTGTGGAGAAAAGGGAACCCTCCTCCATTGCTGGTGGGAATGTAAACTGGTTCAACCACTTTGGAAGTCAATCTGGCGCTTTCTCAGACAACTAGGAGTAGTGCTACCTCAAGACCCAGCTATACCACTCCTAGGTATATACCCAAAATTTGCTCAAATACACAAGGACATTTGTTCAACCATGTTCGTAGCAGCTTTATTTGGAAAAACTTGGAAACAACCCAGATGTCCATCAACGGAGGAATGGGTACAGAAATTGTGGTATTTTTACACAATGGAATACTACTCAGCAATCAAAAAGGAGGAAATCATGAAATTTGCAGGCAAGTGGTGGGATCTAGAAAAGATCATTCTGAGTGAAGTATCCCAGAAGGAGAAAGACAAACTTGGTATATACTCGCTTATATAGACCTACAAGATATGATAAACATAATGAAATCTACACACCTAAAGAAGATAATCAAGAAAGTGGACACAGGCGAAGGTGATTAATCCTCATTTAGAAAGACAAATGGGATGTGCATTGAACTTATGACAGGAGTCTACCACAAAAGGCATCTGAAAGACTCTACCTAGCAGTGTTTCAAAGCAGACACTAAGACTCATAACCAAACCCTCGGCAGAGTGCAGGGAATCATATGAAAGAAGGGAAGTTAGTATGATCTGGAAAGGATAGGAGCTCTACAAGGACCAAATATATCTGGGCACAGGGTCTTTTCTGAGACTGACACTCAACCAAGGACCATCTATGGATATAACCTAGAACTTCTGCTCGGATGTGGCCGGTGGTAGCTCAGTAACCAAGTAGTTTTCCAAAGTAAGGGGAACACGGACTATTTCTAACAGGATCTCAAGGGCAGGCTGTTTGACACCCCCCCCCCCGGGGGAGGAGCAGTCTGTTAGGCCACAGAGGAGGACTTTGCAGCCAGCCCTGAAGATACCTGATAAAACAGGGTCAGATGAAAGGGGAGGAGGTCCTCCCCTATCAGGGGACTTGGAAAGGGGCAGGGAGGAGACCAGGGAGGGAGTGTGGGGTTGGGGAGGGAATGAAGGAGCGGGATACAGCTGGGACACAGAGTTAACAAAATGTAACTAAAAAGAAAAATAAAATAAAAAAAAATTTAAAAAAATGTTAATAAAACTATTACCTAATAAAATTTTATTATAATAATTCTCAGAAAAAAAAAAAAAGAGTTAACGCATTCGTGGTCACTTTGAGTCATTCGCAGACAGAAATCAACCTTCAGACCATTAAAGGTGCTGAAAATACAAATTTCTTATTCTCAGATCAAAACACATCGCCTGCTTATACATACATTTAAGAACGTTTTAATATTACAGTTGTGGTATAATAACATGTTATCCTGATTCTTAATATAGCTGACCTTTGTTCGCACTAGGGCATATGATAACTTCAAGACTGGAACATTTGTGCTTTATAAAAGTATGTCGCGGGATTTTGAAATCCACATACGTCAGCAGGACTGTGGGAGCCTTCACTATCCGGTGTCATGTAACTGTGGCTTTGTTGCAAAAGAAGAAGGGGACATTGTTACCTTTGACATGTGCAGCAGCCAATTACATGAATCCCCACCGCATTTATCCGTAAAGAGCCAAAATTCATCATCAAACAATATCAGAATAACTGAAGCTTATTTGGGAAGAAAAGTCACGGTATGTGAACAGAGGTATAAATTTAATATTAGAAATAGTTTTCCTTCTTATAATTTTGGATGGATTTCTATTCAACCTTACAAATTAGGCAGTACTATGTTTTGATATTAGTTTGCTGAAGAAAATAGCTTTGTAAGGTAATGGATGAAGATGATCAAAATGCATTATATATGTATGTGTGTATGAGAATGTAAAAAAATGAAAGAAAATAGCTTTATATTGACTCAGGTATTGGAAGAAAGCTTGTATTTTAATCTATTTTTCAAAATGAAACATATCCTTAACATATCTAAATTGTTCTTTTAAAATATTTTAATATTAAACTTTTGTGTATTATTCATAAAACTATTTGGGACTGTCTAATAAATGTATATTAGTTAAAATGACACTGAAAATTCATATTCAGGACTATCTAAGCAGTTTTTTAAAATAAATATGTTCTGTTATTACTTCAGTAAGAAGCCAGTAGATATAAGAAAGACAGACAAAAGGCCCCAAATTTCATTTTATAAATATTTTTATCTTTAACCTTTTTAAAGATACTATTTCACATCAATGAGCAAAATATTCATATCTTAATGTCATGTTCACACATTTTCATCTTTAAAAAAGTAAATTCTTGGTAAATATATTCAAATTTAAATAATAATTTTCAATGAATTGTGCTTGTATAACATTTGCTAAACAGTAATTTACAAACAAATCATTTTTTATCTGAATTCTGTCATCCAAAGCCAAAATTTGAGTCAGGAATTAGAAAAAATGTTTTCTACATGTATAACACAGTAAATATATAAAGCATTTGTATATCTGGTTATATGTATATGTGTATACGTATATCTCTTATACATATATAACCAGCAGACAATTGTAGACATGAACAACATCAAAAGGCAAAAGGTGTGTGACACATACCTGTTGTCCCGACACTTTGAAGCCTAGGCAAGGCAATGACGAGCTCAAGAAGAGCCTGTTCCATCATAGGCTCTGTCAAAAGTAAATACAAATATAAAAATAAATAGACAATTCACAAAGAAATAACACTGGAAAATGAGTCTAAATGTACAAGTAATCAACAAAATATTGAAATGCCTCATCAGTAATCAAATGAATAAATAGCACTACTCTTCATATAATCTGGCCAGTGGAAATAATGGTAATGGAAAAAAAATAGTCTTTCTGAGGGACTCTATTTATATGTGACTTCATCAAAAGTTCTTTTTTTATTAATTATACTTTATTTGTTTTGTATCCCCCCATAAGCCCCTCCCTCCTCCCCTCCCGATCCCACCCTCCCTCCTCTTTCTGCATGCATGCCACTCCCCAAGTCCACTGATAGGGGAGGTTCTCCTCTCCTTTCTGATCTTAGTCTATCAGTTCTCATCAAAAGTGGCTGCATTGTCCTCTACTGTGGCCTGGTAAGGCTGCTCCCCCCTCAGGGGGAAGTGATCAACGAGCAGGCCAATCAGATTATGTCAGAGGCAGTCCCTCTTCCCATTACTATGTAACCCACTTGGACACTGAACTGCCATGGGCTACATCTGTGCAGGAGTTCTAGGTTATCTCCACAAATAGTCCTTGGTTGGAGTATGATTTTCTGGGAAGTTCCCTGTGTTCAAATTATCTTGTTCTGTTGCTCTCCTTGTGGAGTTCCCGTCCCCTCCAGCTCTTACTATTTCCCACTTCTTACATAAAATTCCATTCACTCTGCCCATCAGTTGGCCATCAGGCTCAGCATCTGCTTTGACAGTCTATACTGCAGAAGCTTTCAGAGGCCCTCTGTGGTAGGTTTCAAGGTTGTTTCCTGTTTTCTTCTGGCTTTCAGAGGCCCTCTGTAGCAGGTTCCAAGGTTGTTTCCTATTTTCTTTTTCTTCTGATGTCCATCCTCTTGATGTGGGAGGGAGGGTGGGAATGGGAGGGAATAAGGGAGTGGGATACAGCTGAGATACAGGGTTAATAAAATGTAACTAATAATAAAAAAAAATAAATTAAATTTAAAAAAAAAGACCAGACACACACACATGGTGCACAGGCATACATGCTGGCAAAATAGCCATGCACACAAAGAGACAAATAAAGAGGAAGAAATGCAGCCAGTCCTGATGAGACCTGACAGGCTAGGGTCAGAGGGAAGGGGAGGAGGACCTCCCCTATCAGTGGATTAGGGGATGGGCATAGAGGGAGAAGAGGGAGGGAGTGTGGGATTGGGAGGAGATGAGGAAAGGGACCACAGCTGGGATACAAAGTGAATAAATTGTAATAAATAATAATAATAATTAATTAAAAATTGCAAAATAAGAATTGAAATTGTGACCAAGTTTCAAATCAGCATAACGTAAAAATGGATTTCTTTTAAATATAATAGTAAATGAAAGTCTTCATGTAAAAAAAAAAAAGTGTTTTATTCTTTGTATTGCTGTAACCTGGTTAAATTCTATAGCCCCTCTGTTGAGACCTCCTTTATTTCTTAGCAAAACTATGGCTCCTGTGATAACACCTGCTATAACCTTTAGCATATCAGAAGCCATTTTGCCTCCAAGTATGTCTCTATGGTTTCATTACTCAAACATTGTATACTTTGTTACCTCAGTGTTCTGTGAAGTCCCCCAACTGTGAAACCAATCAAATTAAAGGTCAGTTAGAAACACTTTGTCTAACTAGCCGAAATGATGTAGTGTTGCTTTCTACACCTGGATACCTGGTTGTGTTTGTGTTACCTGGTTGTTACTTAGTTGTGGTTTATTTCCTACACCTGGCTACAGTATCATTACCTAACTTTTACCTGGTTAGGAATTGTATAAAAAACCTGCTTTAGGAGCAGACAGATGTCATAGTCTGGCTCCCGAGTTCATATTATGGCGCTGGCAAGTTCCTGTTTAGTGTTCAATAAGCATTTGTTGAGTTCAGTCTGGTATCTGAGTGGTCAGTGAGTGGCTATTCCTAAACCCATAACATATGTATAGAAAAGGACCTTTCTTATATATATTAAATGTCACTCTTTTCTTAACTGAAGTCAGAGTCTGGGTTTGTCTGCTTTCAGATTTGGTTTTCCTCTGGAGCGTTCATCCGGGCTGACCTCAGTGTGTGGGGTATGAGTATAACACTCAGAGCTCCTAGTGTGGACTACAGAAGCACGTTGGGGCTCTGTGGCACCTTCGATGAAAACCCAGAAAACGATTTCCACGACAAGAATGGGATCAAAATTGACCACAACGTCAACAGTTATATTGCTTTTATCAATGAATGGAGGTGAGAATTATGTTATTGTTCATTTTTGTTGTTGTTGTTGTTACTATGAAGCGTAAGCAGTGGCTACTCAATATTTTACCCTCTCACAATATATTAGTGGGGAAAATGTTCTTGTTCAAATTACTATCCTGTTTTTCATCTGGAAGACTTTTACCAGGGAGAAGCATGTTTGACAAAATCCCAGCTTCCCCGCAGTTTCCGGCGAAACCATCTTACTGTGGGTGCTGGTTGGGTACCGCCTTGCAGCATGGGCTCGCTAACCATCTGGACAGCAGATCTCACTTAGAGATGGCTTCCAGCTGCAAAGACATAAAGCACATCCAGTCTTCTTCCTTGATACCAGACCTAGACATCACCTCTGAATACATCAGTTCAGAAGCTCTTCTTGGAAAAGTAAGCACTCGTGTAGCCGAGGAAGAAAATAATTTGAATTTCTTACTACCAGAAAATGCCCACACAAACCTAACAAAACTGGAGTTAAATTTACAGCATCCTGGGAATGAGGATCCACCAAACCGTTTGAGCAGCGAGAGGCACTCGCGGGGCCAGTTAATGAGGAGGAATCTACAAAACAGATGGAAACGACAAAACTTAAAGGATTTTCTTCCCAAGCTTTCTTTCCAGAGTCTTGGACAAGCCAACCTGGAAGAGCTTTCTTATTTTTTCCCTGAGGACCACACTGAGGTCAGCCAGCAGGAGTTCGTCCCCTCATGGCCCACAGCATCGGGCCTCACTGAGCTCAGCAGCTGGGCCCTCTGCGAGCAGACTCTCGCCAACTCCAGCATCGGAAGGCTCTGTCTCCCGTTCCTTGGCAGGATGCTAAACCACGTTACGGACATGTGTGTGAAGGATATTCTGTTGAAGGACGACGTGAGCTGGGCAGAAGCCGGGGTGGCCCTGTTAGAAAATGAATGTGAGAGGCGGGTTTTAGAAGAAGGAAAACACTACAGTGAAGGCTACAGGAAGTCAATAGGAGGCATTCTCCAAGTGTTAAGATGCCCCAATTTGTGCAGCGGACACGGGCGGTGTGTGGAGTGGGGCTGTGCGTGTTTCCCGGGCTACAGCTCCTCTGACTGCAGTCATTCATTCGGTACGCAAATGCCCTGAGTCCTTAGTGTTTATTAAGTCTACAGTGAAAACATATTAGTTAATGTTTTAATGATTTCTCCCCAAAGTCAAAGCTGACATCCCCGTAACTGCCTGTCTGGCACCCTACTGTTTGTGGCCTCTTTCTGGAAGCTGTTGATCTGTCCAGCCGCTTTCATCTCTGTTGGTGTTCCTTGAAAATGCCAGGCCCACCCAGCCACAGTGCCTTTGCACACCATCGGTGCTTCTGTCTGCAGACAATAACCATTTGCCTAGACTACATATTTAATATATTTTCAGCACTTTTTTACGTTGCTTTACTCAGTATACTAATCTACTTAAAATGTTTTTTTTTTTTTTTCTTAAGCCTATTTTGGGAGCTCTTACGTCTCAGTATTAAGTTAGAAAATTCCTAGTAGTTTTTCTCACACAACCCCAGATTTTTTTTAATTTATATATTCTTTTTAAAATTTATTTTTAGTTTATATATTCAGCCCCATATTTTTTAATCTACAATAGTTAATATAAATTTTTCTATACTGAAAACATTTTTAAATCTCCAATAGGTAATATAAATTCTCGTACTGAAAACATATATTAATACACTTATGTTTTTTTTCACTTTGTAAACAATCTTTGTCCTTCTATGATAAATTTAAGCTATATGGAGGCTTTATTTAGTTTATTCCTATGCCCCATATAATGCAAATACATCAGTAAATAGACACTTGTTACAAATGTAAGAGGATAAACTAATACAATTTTTTTTTCATGAGGATTTTGAGAAGCCTGAGGACATAGGCTTATGATTTGTCCATAAGGCTAGCTGATAAGTTCACTTCGGCTTTACCTAAGACAAACGGCTGCTGTTTCACGTCCATTTTAACAAGCAGATATTACCAATTCCTGTAAGATGTGATCACTAAGACCACACCCAGAAGAAGGGCCATATAAAATTCAGTTAATTATGAGTTCTAACAGAGATATTGCCTGTCAATAATTAATAAACTCATAGTTATGTTCATGGGACAACAAAAATATGGACAATACTGGAATAGAAGTGCTTATATACTTTGATAAATTTTTATAACACTAAAATGAGTTTTGAAGCATGAATATTGCACTGCTACTAAACTATTGTATTATTGAAGCATATTTTACCTGCTGTCCATCTATTTGGCATAAACTGATGTGGCAAAACCAAGATGCATTTTAGGACAGTAGTGACTTATTAACATCTGCCCTTAAATGATAACAAATATTACTGAAATATCAGTGAAATATATGTTTAAGTGTTATCTGTTATGACAATGTGTTTCTTTTGACAGTTAACAATACCTCTTTTTTATTTTATTTTATTTTTATTTACACTTTATTTACTTTGTATCCTCCCTCTAGTTCCATCCCTCCTCCCCTCCCAATCCCTTCCTCCCCAACAATACCTCTTTCTAAAAACAAGATTATGAGGTGTTTGACTGGTTAATTACTATAAACAAGGTTTGTGTATAGTTTGAAATGTTATTTGAACTATGCATTTAATTTAGACCTTCAAAATAATTATACAGTGGTTTTTTTTCCTGTAATTCACAATGCATGTCCTTTTTTTTTTTTTTTTTTCCTAAAGACATATCTCCTGAAATTACAGAGCTAGAAAACGCTGGATTCTGTGATGTCCAGAAGCAGAATTGTGTCACAGTGAGAGTTTTTGGTCAGGGCTTCAAAGATTCACCATCTGTCAAGTGTGAAGTTACTAAACTGGAGGTAAAACGAGAAGTGCAGGCTTCCGGGTGCAGCGTTTACGATGACTGGGTTTATGACCGCTTCTGTTGTTGCCTTGTTTTTTTTGTTTTTGTTGTTGTTTGTTTTTGAGACAGGGTTTCTCTATGTAGCTGTGGATGTCCTGGAACCCACTTTGTAGTACAGGTTAGCCCTGAACTCAGAGATCCACCTGACTCTGCCGCTCAGGTGCTGGGATTAAAGGCGTGCAAGTGTCAGACTTCTTTAGGTTAATTCTGTCTATCAGGCAACAACACGATTTTAGGGGGTTCAGCCCACCAAGAGTTACAGAAAAACGGCCAAGCCGTTCCTCTAGAAAAACTACCCATTGAACATTACTAAGTATTTTACACCTTTTTTTTTAAGACGTTGGGAACTGATTTTCAGTCATGATTAATAAAAACTAAAAGATATCAAGCTTGCTATGCAGAAGCACCCACCTTTCTTGAGCTGCAAACCACAATGGGTAGAGATGGATTTCAGCCAAGATGTCTGGCATGGAGTGTAGGCAATGGAGATCCCTGACCATTCGCCCTTACATAGCAGAAGTGTGGACAATTGCGATCATTGTTCACACCTCCCTCTCTATGGGTTTCTGACTTTAAAATATCCAGCCCCTCCTCCATCGTTTATTTGTTTCTCAAGATTACAAAAGCAGAAAAGTCATTCCGTTTGAATGTGAGCTCCTGTAATTTTATGTTATTTTGTGAAATGTATGATATTTCTTTTCTTTAAGTAAAATTTTCACTTAAGGTAAGGACATGTTTTAAAATTTAGATGTTCACTTGAACAAGTTGAAAACTTAAAATAGTCAATTATATTTTTGCATTCTTTATCTCTAAGCTGAAGTGAAGGGAGGATGTGATAAAAATTTCCTGAGGAAATAATTTTTGCATATATTTTTCATGTGTAATTATGCAAAAATATACTCATTGCATCGTGGTGTGCATAGGATTTCAGTATCAGTGGAGAGTAGATATGTGGCAGGTTTGATAATATGAGATTATGCCATCAGTGAGTAATTGAACAAAAGAGAATTTTACAAATTTGTATTTTCTTGGAAAGGAGTTCCAAGAAAGTGCTTACTTTGTGTGTTGTGACTTCCAAGCATCTGACAGGGAATTTTGGAATTCCCTAAATATTATACTTAGCTGCAGAAGGAAAAGAAAGAAACTGAGTTGCCAAATTCAAAGTTGGCCTGAGTAGCAAATATTTACATTATATTGAAGTTGAATCAATCTCTGCTAATTTCAAAAAAAAAAATTAAACATAGTTACACTGCTTTAACTCCATCTTCTCTATCTAATCTTTCCTATGTGCCCCTCTCTTTCTCAAATTCATGCTGTTAGCCAGACTTTTGGCTACTTTATTGGGTTCTTTTTTCCTATTTCCCTACACTACCCCTATCTCTTCCAACCTCCCAAGAGTAGATAGGAGAGAGGGAAGGTTAGAGGGGAAAGGGGGCATCAATATTGTTAGACAACTTTTTGCTGATTTGGGGGTGTCAAGTTCCTGAAGGCAAATTTGATCCTCGTCATAAGGATATCTCCAGTCAGCAACCAGCAACAGAGCAGGAGCAGCACGGGCAGCACGGGCAGCACGGGCAGCACGGGCAGCACGGGCAGCACGGGCAGCAGGGCAGCATGGGCAGCAGCAGCTGTTGTCTCCCTTAGGGCTCTGGCATTTATATAGCCTCTGAAGAGTCCCTAGAATTTCAAACATGAATTATCTTCAGCTGGCAAAATCAAACCCCTGCCAGAGCATGAGACAAATCATAGTCTGCTGCTGTAGACAATGTGAAGTAGCCCCATATCCCACACCTGGGATTAAAACAAAAATATATTCACATAACATTTCTGTGTTTTTAAAGCAATCAAAATTCTCGATGCACATGGTCTCTCATCTTTAAATTGTTATTGTTACATATGAATAATCAAATAAACATCCATTTACTTGCACGTATACATTTATAAGGCTGTCAACTTGGCATTGAAAAACAAAAGACTTAGCTATGCCTAATCTTAAAATCTGAACATAAAATCTGTCCACAGTGCATTTTAAAGGCTTTCTAAATTCACTTTTATCAAGAGAAATTTGACACAATTTTAAAATCATGCAATACTAGTCTTTTAGGATTTGCCAAAAGCCTTAGGCTTCACTTGGGTTGATGGTACCAAGTTTCCACTAAGCTAATGTCTTCTCCTGGTTTCATTATTTATTACAGGCTAGTTACTGCTTTTAAGACCTCTCAATCGATAGAGCATGCACACATACACCTCAAACATCTATACATCTCTCTATCCTCTATGTATCTCTCATCTACATTCACCATCTTTATCTATTTTCTTAGCCTCTATCTAATCTACCATCTTCAACAACTGACAGCAATGTCTCTGATAATGAAATGGCACAGGGTTCACTCTAGTCTCCTTTTTTTATTTGTTTCTTTTTCATTCACAAGTGAAAAACAGTTCTCATCATTCCCAATACGTGTCTATTTTGTCATTCTTTGCGCATGCATATGTTTTCAGATATTTTATCCCCTGCCATGGAAAAGAAAACTTATAAAACCATATAGTATATAACAGCAAATGATGTTCCCATTAGGATGCACGCTACTTTCTTTGACTTCCTGTTCATAGCATTTATACATTTCATTGTAGTGCAATTAGTTTAAATGCTGATATTTCTTTTTGAGTTTCTTATGCATTCTAGTTGAGTTGAATTGAAATTATTTAGACAGTATCTAAATATTATCATAATTCTAAAATTTTGATCTGTTGAAAGGTATTTATAGAGAATTGTTCACCTTTTCTCTTCTACATTATCCACATTTTTATTATCTTTTCTATTGTCCTGATATTTTTATTGTATTCTCTCCATACATATGTGTCATTTTTTTCTAGTTAATTCTCACTATGTTTCTTTTGTACAAAAGCACACATAAACACATCTCCAATGTTATGTAAAGAACAGAATATCACAGCTTACAGCTCCTTTCTACTGTTACAGTAATAATTTTGAACAAGTATTAGTCTAGAAATCTACCTACCTCATCATTTCTTTTACTATTTTCTCTAAACACCAAGTCCAGCTTTTTAGCTCCTGCTCCATAGTATTAAGTCCAAGCAGTAATCCTGTAAACAGAGGTCTCTTTCTGACCTAGATTTTGTCTCCTTCTGTGGGCAGCCTAAATATCCCTCTCATCTTCATTCTCTACTACAGACCATGATGTTTTGTGCCTCCTTGCTTTTCAAATACTGGTCTCTTCAGCCATGTTGGATTCCCCTCTTCCTGTTTCAGTTTCTGGTATCCTAACAGAAGCACCATTTATCCTCGAGTAAGAAAAATATGACCCCGTCCTCTGAAGCCTTTCTCGACTAGATTAGACTCGGGAATTCTTTTGTATTATACCTTACTTCAATCTCAGTGATCACAGCAAAATTATACATTCTATGTTTTTTTCTGTTACATATTCCCTCATCAGAATATCAGTAGCTGCTGTGAATGTGTGAACAGTTCTGACCAATTGGGATTGGATAGATATGGTTTAAATACAGTACACATGTATGAGATTCTCAAATATTAAACTATTTAAATTAAGAAGAACATACATGTAATAAGCCCTCACAAAACACTGAATATAAAGTATCATATTCATCACTTTGGGTTAACCTTTTCATGGAAGGGTAGAACCCATATCTTAAAGGCCAATTGTTGGCTGCAAACTGGATTGACACAGGAAAACAAGAGAACTTGCATGTTTTAAGCACAGCTATCAGGACAACCTTGAGACATTCTAATCATTCTTTTGATAGAGAAACCCACTGTCAGATCCGCTATAATAGACTGCTCCTCCGTGACTATAGATAGCTCCACAACTGCACGCTGTCCATCACCTAGTCTTCCACACTAAGTAGGCTTCATTCCACACAAACTGGGTGATTTCTCTCTTTCCCCTTTTCTGCTGACCTATAATGCTGGGTCACTGTTAACTTGTATTACCAAGGCTACATGTATGAAAACCATTGTGCAATCTATATGCATTTTTATAAATATGAATTCAGATATTGCCAGCAAAATATTGCCTTCTAGATTTCAATATAGTTTTCAGTACTCAGAAAATCATTCTGCCTTTGCTCTTTGTACACCAAGACATTTACAACACTGTAAAATTACACCCAAGGTGTAGCTTAAACATGACATTTCACTGGCATTAAGTACGACAAACAGGCTAGAATTCTACTCAAATAACATAAACTTTCTTAAACAAAATGACACATTTTTACTGAACATAGTATGTTCTCTGTTTTAATTTACTTGGGTCTTGGACACCATGAAAAATTAGTATGTGCACAATTACATATGTTCATATCTGGTTTCAGTCCTACTATTCTTTTCAGGCTTCATTGTTATATTAACTTTATTAAAAAAAAAAAAAAACATAGCCACCACTCTATAGTTTCATACTATTATGGGTAGTCTGGCCCCAAAGCCTATGTCATAGGGGTAAAATTTTTCAAATAGTTGAAACACTGACCCATCTTAGTTATTCCTTTGGACCAGTAAAGGGTCAAAGCCTAGTGGGTAACAACATAGTGGAACAGTGTTCTATGGAGATGACTGTGGGAATTGCGACATAAAAACATCCATTCACCATGTGCCAACTATGCACTCCCTTGCTTTCCCTCTTGCTCTGAAATCCATTGTGTGGTGAGTCATTATACATGGCCCACCTTGGCAACTTTTTTAATTGAACCTTTCAGTAATGTACACTTTGAGAGAAAGATTGCTCTTATTTTTTAATTACCAAATTACTGTTAAACTTTTCTACTATGCTGAATAAAACTTACTTTTTTTTAAACTTTTCATTACACGTTCAGTATGATGGCAGTAAATGGGTACTTGGAGAAAGCGTCTACACAGAGACAGTGTTTCAAAATAGCAGAGTGGTTGACTGTCGGCTGCTCACAGATGGCCAGCATTCTGATGCCATGGATCTGATGGCGGAGAAACCCTTGGCAAAGTTGCAACTGAAGGTAACCAATGAAAGACATCACCAGGGAAAGGGCATAGGGGGAGAAGGAGGAGAGTGGGTGGGACTAGGAGGAGACTAGGGAGGGTGCTACAGCAGGGATACAAAGTGAATAAATTGTAATAAATAAATAAATTTTTTAAAAGATGTCTTCCACATAAATGAAATTTCATAAGGAGTTGATGAGGCAACATTTAGAAGAAATAATCTTATTCTAGAACTGTATCACACAGGTATCTAATGATGGTTATGCATTCAGTAATCCCAAGATAATGATCATATATAATGGCACTTGTCAAGCTTGTGGTTCCTATGGAGATGACTCATGCACTGTGAAGGTATAGATCTTTGCTTGTTCATAGCATGTAATACATATATTCACATGTCTTCACCATATTATTGTACCCTTCCTAACCTTATGCCACAATGATATGAAAAAATTCACATTCCTGTTAGTCTAATTAAAATAAATGAACTTCCTTTAACTCTTGTTGTGTAATAAGGAAGATGTTTCTTCTTTTAACATCTTAAAGTGCAATCTCTGAAACTTTGAAGGAAGACCCATGTTAAAGTATCAAACATTTGTAATTCTAGCATTTGGAAAATGGAGTCAGGAGGATCAGAAGTTTAAGGTTGTCACATCCTAGAGGTCAGGCTGGGCTAAATGAGAACCTGCTCCTCTTCACTGTACTTCTCCTAAAGATTCAGAGAAGAAATTTTATATTAAATCATTCACTCATGTGCTCCTACGTACATAGTTTTGTTCAGTAAGATTTTTCTTTGTGGTTAGCTTGTTCTTTTTATAGCAAATGGCTTGTATTTGAAAAGAGTTTATAATATAAATCTAATGCTTTTATCATTTTTAGTTGGTTTCTGGTTTTATTTTTTGTTTGGTTATTTAAGGGGCTTCCTTTAGAACTGATAACTTCATAGACACCATATTGCTAATATCATTCGACTTTTCAAAACCAAAGAACATAACACTAGTACAGGAAAAAAAGGCATTTTTCTTGGTAAAACACTTCCAAGATGAGCTGGAAGACAAACATGGTGGCCATATTCCCTGTTTCTCATAAGCTATGCTATTGTATTTCATGGCTTCCCTATATTTTCTCATTCTTCCAAGTTAGTGAGTTCTATTGCTTTTTACATACAATGAATAGTTTGTTTTTAAAGATGTACTCATGAGTTTATGAAACTATCTCCAAATCCAAATATATGAGATATGTATTTCTGTTTCTAGTTTCTGTATATTAAGCATAAGATGTCTTTTTGATACTTTATTTTCTCAAATTCCAATAGGATAATGTTTGTGTGATTGATGGTCTCTGCTACACTGAAGGGGATAAAAATCCTATCAGTTCTTGTTTGATTTGTAAACCCCAAGTTTCAAATTCTACATGGGCAGTTTTAGACAGTAAGTCATTCTTTATTATTTTTCCTATTTCTTATTACAAAGTTTTAAGGTGATTTTTAGGCATAACTAATACTAATGTACTTCAGAGAGATGAACAATGTATTTAATTTAGTATCTCTCATTACTTCATATTTTTTTTCAAGGAAACAAAAGACAAGACTATGTTTTTATACGTTATCCTGAACATCAATTAACAACATTTTGGCTAATAATAAGCTTAACATGTGTTTATATCATCAAGTGATTTCATAGCTATCTTAATTTGTGACCAAACACTTCATGATGATTAGAATGATAAAACTGGTTAGTGATGCATTTCTTACAACTTATTCTCATGTTAAGTGATATGTGACTATATATAATAATTTATATCATCTTACTGTAATAGGTTATAAGGTATATATTTTAGTATTTACTAATGAAATGATAATTAAATTGTTCATGAAAGAAAGAAATGGGAATTCTCAAATCAGGGATACCCTGTTTTCTATGTCTAACTTTACTTTGTTCAGTTTTATGGCAAGGAATTTAGCTATTTCAATTTCAACAGACATGAATTTATCGTTTGTTAAAGATAGTTAGACTCAGTACTCTATAAGTGCTTTTCAATAAGTCTTTTTCTATGATTCTATGAATATAATCCTGTATACAGATAAATGCAGGATTCACTGTTCAAATGGTACCACAAATTGTGGACACAAGACATAACTTTTAAACTTTCTCAAGCACTACATAATTTCATATGTGTATCTGTGTTCTTTCCTTATGTGATGATCAGGTTAGCTATACAGATTAATAAGTAATATGTAACAAGACATAATTTTCAAAGCCTATGTAACTTTATCTGTAAGTAATAAAACTTTATATTCACATGTCAATGTATATGTAAATTCCATTGCTTTGTTAGATAATTTGTCATATTCACTGCTTAGGAACAAGATTTACAGAATGTTAGCCAAAGCCAATAAATATTTGAGAGAATGTGGTGAAAGTGATCAAGAAAATGAGACGACCTTCTGAGTTGGAGTCTTTCTTTTAATGGCTATAGTACGACTGATTTGCGAATAAGCCATCGTGTTCAATGATATAAAATAAGCCTCGAGGAGGAGGAGAGCAATAAGGTCATTAGTGAAGCTTCTTTCAGACATGTTCAGGGACAAATTGGGAGCTGAATCTGGGGCCTCTGGGCATCAGCGTCTCATGTGTACGCTTGTAACCCAGATGTCATAAGAAAGTTGTTTAGTTAGCACGCAAAGGGAGTGCACGTGTTAAAACATAAGACAGTATAACGTATATTTTAGAATGTTTTCTAAGTATATAAAGATCAGTCCCTACGCTTGATGCAGCTGCGCTACGGCATGTGTGTGAGCTTGGCCACTGGAAGGAGCTCAGAGAACAGGAGTTTGGTCTGACTGTTCACTCCCAATTGTTACAACTGGGGAAGTAGGTGGAGTGAAGAAGGCTTAGCATTTGGATGAGTGGTGTAATCACAGGAAGCAAGGGAGGTGTACAGAGAGAAAGTGAGAATGAAAGAGAGAGGGCACACAGATGAGTGAGAAAGTCCAGGACTTCCCAGGATCCTCAAGCAGTGATATGGTCAACAAAAAGTTGTTTTAGACAACAGAGAGGTGCCTTCCACCTGAAGAGTGCAAAGCTACCTGTATGTTTTATGCAGTATGCAAAGTACTTACAGACTTGCCTGGCAAAACTGGCCCTGACCCTTACAGTTACTTTTACATTTATAAAGAATGGAATACAGGTTTAGGAAACAAAACAAACAAAAACACCAAAAAACCCAAACAAAAAACACACAAAAACCAAAACAAAACAAAAATCACAGCAAAACAAAACAAAACAAAAGGACAGCTAATAGAACGTTTAGCAGAATTAAGTCCTTACTAGACACTTGACCCTGTAGAAACTACCAGAATCACTCTTCTCATGCTTCTTTCCATTTTTACACAAGTACAAGGTGAAATGCTTTCTCTGTTACAGATAATAAGCCTCCTGTGATCCAAATTCTGCAAGACAAATTACAGGCATTTTATGGGGAAGACTTTGAATACCAGCTCACAGCCTGGGATCCGGAAGGCTCTGAGATACATTTTACACTGGATTCTGGTCCTGATGGAGCAGGCATTTCCTCTAAAGGACTTCTGACATGGAAAACAGAGTCACAGACTCCTCAGAAATTCATTCTCCATCTTAAGGATGACTGTGAGGCTGAAACTACAGTCATAATGGAGGTCATAGTTATAATTACCAAAATATTGCTATCTTTTACAAAGACAACCACTTTATTTTAAATCCTAGCACAAGGCATAGTCTTAATTTCAAACAGCAATAAAGTCATTAAATGTTCCATGTTTGACTGTTGCTTGTCACACCATAGTGTCTTAGAGACACCCTTAAGTCCCGAAGCATGGGTCTAAATTAATAGCTGACGGTTTAATCTGTACTTGACAGACACGGGTGAGGATCTCCCTCCCTCCCACTTCCTGATTAAAATAAGAGAGATAACAGTACCTTTTTTCTTCCAATGAAAGAGTCTTGAATGCTGAATTAGAAACATGAAACAACCAACTGGCAATTTTCCTTTATTGATATACATAGTATGTTACTCATGAGGCTTGAATTATTATAAACTGCTTGTGACCTGCATGTGTGCTTGAAGTTTAGTATTCACATTTTCACACTTTCACGTGTGATGAAAGGTGATTGAGTTTGGTCATATTAGCCTGGTAATTGATGCTCTTGTTTGCTCTTAAGTTGAAGATAAGAGGGGTGGCTGACTGATTTTGTTTCCTAGTGTCCTGTTTGTATTATAAAACCAATGATTCTATTCAAAGTATGGTGTTATCTAAAAATACATGTCCTTGGGAAGATGAGGAAGGAGGACTACATGTCCAAGGTCACTTTGAGCTAAATAAGCCCTATTTTAAAAATTAAAAAATAAAAATATCTTAATACTTAAAACATTTTTAGAAGTATTCCCCCTAGTACCCATATTTTAGCCTTGCTCATGAAAGTGGACATAATTTTTTAAACAAGCATTTTGCAGAGATACATAATTTGATTAGACAGGTACATAAGCCTTCATGCCTGTCATGATTTCATGCAGCAATAACTGAGCATAATTTTATCCAAATAAAGCATTTATCGTTTTTTTTATCTTTTGTAGGTGACTGTGAAGTCTTGTGACTGCTTGAACGGTGGATCATGTGTGTCTGATAGAAAATTTCCTCCTGGAAGTGGAGCATACCTGTGCCTCTGCTTGCCTGGTTTCCATGGCAGTCTTTGTGAAGTTGATGCCAGTGGGTGCCAGTCAAACCCTTGTGGTCTTGGCAAGTGCATTAGAGAATTACACAGTTACTCCTGTGACTGTCCTCCTGAGTTCACAGGTCAGTTTGGGTTCCTTACGAACTAAATGTGAATGAATTAGAAAAAAAAAATCTCCTTGGAATATTCTTTTGTGGAACCATGCAAATCTATGCTGTTAAGATTTTAATGCATATTTTAAAAGTCTGGCAAAAAAATATCACAGACATAAACAGTGCTCACATCCTCTGATTTTGTTTTAGTATTTTTATTTAAATTTTTATTTTTCATATTATAGTTTATTCACTTTGTATCCCAGCTGTAGCTCCTTCCTCATTCCCTCCCAATCCCCCCTCCTTTCTCTCCACCCATTCCCCTCTCCAAGTCCACTTATAGAGGAGGTCCTCCTCCTCTTCCATCTGACCCTAGCTTATCAGGTCTTATCAGGACTGGCTGCATTGTCCTCCTCTGTGGTCTGGCAAGGCTGTTTCCCCCTCCAGGGGAGGTGATCAAAGAGCCAGCCACTGAGTTCATGTCAGAGACAGTCCCTGTTCCCCTTATTAGGGAATCTACTTGGATACTGACCTGCCATGGGCTATATCTGAGCAGGGGTTCTAGGTCATATCCATGAATAGGATAAACATACTAAAATCCGTACACCTAAAGAAGCTAAGCAAGAAGGAGATTCCTGAATAAGATGATCAATCCTCACTCAGAAAGACAAATGGGATGGACATTGGAAGAAGAGAAGAGAAAACAACACAGGAGCCTACCACAGAGGGCCTCTGAAAGACTCTACCCAGCTGTGTATCAAAGCAGATGCTGGGACTCTTAACCAAACTTTGGGCGGAGTGCAAGGAATCCTATGAAAGAAAGGGGAGATAGTGGGACCTGGAGAGGACAGGAGCTCCACAAGGAGAGAAACAGAACCAAAGGTTCTGGGCACAAAGGTCTTTTCTGAGACCGATACTCTGATTATTTTTAATTGTGAGTTACTTTAAGATACTTTTGCCATTTTACTTTCATATATTCTTGCAATTTTCTCCATTTTATAATTCTGACAGTAATCAAGAAAACTCAACTTCATGTTTATAGGCATTTCCACATTTATTTGGTAACTAAAAATACATTTCAGTGTGTTGATGTTGAAATATAAATCAGGGAACCCCATGAAAGAGGAGGCAGAAAGGGTGGAAGCCAGAGAGGATAGAAGAGATCGGGAGACCAAGGCTCTCTAAATCAGCTGAGCAAAGCTGGCATGAACTTACAAAGGCTGAAGCAGCAAGCACAGGGCCACACAGGTCTGCACAAGCTCCTCTGTGTATATATTACAGCTTCTAGTGACGTATTGTTATGGGACTCCTGAATGCGTGAATGAGTGGGTCTATGATTCCTGTGCCTTCTCTTGAGGCTCATTTGCTTCTGTTGGTCCAACTTTCATGTGATGTTTTGTGTGTGTGTGTGTGTGTGTGTGTGTGTGTGTGTTATCTTTTTATATTTTATTTTGTTAAAAAAAGAGAAAAACATTTTAAAAGAAATACATTGTAGAATAATAAAAATATTTCAGGAGAATAAAATATTATCACAAATAAATGCTTTACTAATAATTTACTAGCTTAGAAATCTAGTTTAAGTCAGAGTTGTAAACAAATGACATGCTGGCATATTCACTAATTCATTACTTGTCCTAGAATGTCTGATTCCAGAAATAAACATACGATAACAAGCCTTTAATTTATCAAATATGTGAAAGTCTTATATGAATAATTCTTCATTATATAGATACAATTATTAGATTAATATACAGTCATTGAGTTGACTTTTCTGAAATAAATCAGTTTTAACATAGAGGAACAAGTTAGAAAAATTATTTTTCTTTTATTATTTTAAAATTATCACTCAGACATGTGAATGCAGATATCTCATTTGTGTTGTGTTACAGACCATATAATTGACTCAAAGACATGTGTATAACAAGGGCTATTTTCTATTCATAATATGAATTTATTCATTCAAACAAGATGTTAAGCATATGAAAGGGCACTCCCTTATCTCAAAATATCTTATTGAGGAAAAACTTGACTTTTTAACAAGTAAGATAAAAAATTTCAGGGTTCAGTGATTTGACTGAAGAAGTCATCCTTAGTGTAAGCAAGTGACAAATTTTTTAATTGTGTTATATATAATTATATTTTATACTGTAATTCTTACCTCAAATATTAATAGACTGTTTCTTGAGACAGATCTGGTTATGTTACTTACGCTGACCAACTCAATGTCCTCCTCCCTCACCCTCCATGGTGATGAGATTATTCATATATAGAACAAAGCAAATTTATGTGTGCGAAGACTTGAGCTTACTATTAAAAGAAGTCTAAATGATTTTATATTTCATTTTATAGTAGTTTTAAAGTAAATAGTAATTATATTTCCTTACTTGAAGTTTGTATTGTTAAATAAAGAGTAGAAGAATATGCTTGCAATCCCAGAACTCTGGAGGCAGGAGTATCACACATTTTAGTTTAACCCGAGCTACACAGCTAGTTCCAGGCCAACCTGGTCTATGTACTAAGTTCATTCTAAATATTCAACAGTATAAAACTAGGGTATAAGGAATCAAACAATGGGATTTTAGGCATATAATGCATTTCAAATTAAATAATTTGAACTATTGGTTTATGTTTTCTATAGGCAAGAACTGTGAGAGAGATGTTGATGAGTGCGAGTCCTGGCCTTGTTTCCCAGGTGTGGAGTGCCTCAATATGTTTGGCTCCTATCACTGTGGTCCATGTCCAAAAGGATTTCATGGTGATGGAAAAACATGTCATGGTAAAATCTCCTGCTTGCTACTGCTGTGTTTTGTGCTGCATGTATCTAATTCAGTCGCTCAACTGCATTTTCTTTTACTCACGTGTTACATGTCGAGTTAGATGCAGAGGACACAGCAGCATGTCACATGTGCCCTCCCACTTAATAGATTAGCGTGGGGTAGCAAGAAATGTGATTAGTAGCCCCATGGTGCTAAAAATGTAGATTTTTGAATACTCCTGTATATTTTGATAGAGGTGCCTGAGTGGCACACAAGAGGACTACACAGGGCATCAGGAAGGCTACTACCCATGCCAGGAAGGATAATGGAAGACCGTAATAGAGGCATGGAGAGAGAAAGAATGAGAAGACTATTTGAAGGTCAAGATAAAGGGCTCAGTTAGAGATGAACTCTGATGGTTATTATCCAAGGAGAAAGGTATTTTAGAGAAAGGGGCACACGAGAATCTGAGGGCCATCAATATTTTAAAAGTGAGACAGCATTAAAGAACTATATATGTATTCCAATTAAGTGGATAACGATCCTCTTTTGATGGGATATTGACCACCCAATCTTTATATCATGGTGGGCCTATACGTCGAGGCAACAAGTGAGAAAACCTGTCCATCCTCCCATTTGTTTCCCATGAGACTAAAATAATTATCTCCAGGGAATTTTTATTTTGTAGAAAGATAAGGGTCGTATGAAGCACCACAAAATATGTTCTTTTCTTTGACAAAACCCCACAAAATATGTTCTTTTCTTTGACAATCTCTACAATTGTCAGGCTTATATTACAGAAAAACAGGTGTCTTAGTTACTGTGATGAAACTCTGTGACCATAGAAACTTGGAGAGGAAAGGGTTTATTTGGCTTATACTTCCACATCCCTGTTAATCATAGAAGGAACTCAGGGTAGGAACACAAACAGGGCAGGAACCTTGGGGCAGAAGCTGACACAGACTTATGGAGGGGTTCTGCTTACTGGCTTGCTCCTCATGGCTTCTACAACCTGTGTTCTTATAGAATCCAGGGCCACCAGCCCAGGGATGGCACCACCTACCAAGGGCTGTGCCGCCTTGCATTATTCACTATTTTTTAAAAACATGTTTTACAGGCTAGCCTATAGTCTGATCTTATGGAAGCTTTTTCTCAGTTGAGGTTCTCTCCTCTCCAATGATCCGAGCTTGTGTCAAGTTAACATACAGCTAGTTAGCCCAATAGGCAAAGCAGTCTTCACTGAGTCTTGTTGGTGATTATTAGCATTTATGCTAGCATAAGGAGACTGCCCCTCAGCTCTCAGCATTTGATCTAAGTTGTGTTTTTTAATATACTTTCCTCTCTATGACTAATGGCTTTTTTTTTTCCAAAAGAAGAGAGCCACTGAGTTTCTCAATTAAATTTATAAAGAAAGTAAATTTGAACAAAATCATGTTGCCCATGAGCGACTAAATAAAATGTTCTGAAGATTGTCTGCCATTTGTGTATGTTAATGAAGAGTCTTGTTTCCATAAATTAACTCCCAGTTGTCAGTAGCTATTTATTTTTATATAGACAAACACGTTGAAGAACATACAATGACATAACATACAGTGATCTTTGTTGAGATTATTGCTAACTGGTAGGGGAAAGAATCAAATCTGAATCAATTGTGTGAAAAATATTTTGCAAGAAAACGCTGGTGAACCAAATTAACTTGATTGCGCAAATAAGATCTATAGTCCGTTTAGAAGGCCACAACAGAATCCTAAGGGTGGAATGACTCAGTCAGTGGAAATACATTTTCTTCTAATTCTAAACTGGGGAATTTCAAGAGCAAGAGTGCAGTTTGGTTGGCTTCAGGGAAACTGTCTTTTTTGCTGTTAGACAGCAGTGTCTTCACTAGGTCTTTCTTCTGTGTGTGCTTTCCTGGTACCTCCTCCTAGGCTTAGATCAGGGATCCACTTTTCTCACCTCGTGTAACCAGAATTCCTTTTACAAAGGCAGTCTCTCCAAACACTGCCAAGTTTAGAATTCACCATTTTACAGATGAATTTTCAGGTACCCAACTCATTCTCTATCTGAGGATTTGTGGGAAAACAAACATCTTAACTGTGTCATTGACCTAATTTACAAAGAATTAAGTCAAAGTAGACTTATCGCTTCTAGATTATAACTCATTAGGTTTGGTTTGCAACAGTTTAACTCTGATATGTCCCATGTACTGATTTACAGTTGAAACAGAGCTTTAAAATGACTCTACTACAAAACTATGGTTGTCATGAGGTCTGATAAAAGTATTATTGAAGAAGAGAACTGCAAAACTGCCAAAAACAGAACCATGTTAGGCCAATACATCAACATGTCCCCAACAAGTCACACTTTTGGTTCAAGTCTAATACAGAGTACCTCCTAATTGTTTTCCTTAAGACTAACAAGTTGTACCTCAGTTATTTTCACTTTAGAAAGATAACCTAAGGGCTATACGAGGCAACTTGAAATATATTATTTTTCATGCTGATCTCCTGAATCTTCGGGTATATATTATAGAAAAATGAACAGAGGGAAATTTGGGGAAGTGTATTAGTGAATATTCCATAGCTTTCAAACTAGCTAACTTTCTGTATAGGTTGCACAGTCCTTGAACACTATGATGCTTTTTATTACTTTCTGAGTCTTAGTTGTACTTGTTAGAAACCCCACATAAAGGAATAAATAACTCAGCATCAACATATGGGTAGAGTATAACATTGATAAGCATTCTGATGAGTGTTTGTGTTTATCTTTTTGTTGTTTAGATTTGAGTTTTCAACCATCATCGAAGAAGCATTTATTAACGAGTTCAAGTTTTACTCAGAGTCCTGAAACAACTTCCAACGAGTTCTTAAACTCAAGAGGCACCTCTCCCTTGTCAACAAAGTCAGTTACAGCTCAAATGGATAATGCAAAGAAAGGCGTTTCTCATCACAGTCCAGTTAATGAGTATGTCGATCACGTTCTCAGTACAAATCTTACTGTTGATGAGCTAGAAATTCCTGCACACAATGGTAGTTTCTTAAAGATCAGTCCTAACGGTTCTTTCGGTCACGTAAGAGAGCCTGTCCAGAGCACTCTTCAGACAATGACAGGAGGAAATAATGCTCATACTAGCAAACAGTTGCAAAATTTTACTGGGCGTGAGCTTACATCATTGGCTACCACAGCAATCACTACATTGCCAGAAAAGCTTGGATCAGCGAAAAGATCAAATTGCACAGATTCATCTTGTTTCCTGGGTGTTTCCTGTGTGCCAACCACTGGTGGTCACTTCAAATGTGGACGCTGCCCCTTTGGGTATTATGGAGATGGTATCAAATGCAGAGGTATTGTGAAATTGTTTTCAACCCATACAATGAAAACTAACTGGCTTAAGTTTAAGTAACTCAGAAGCTATCCTCCTCTGATCATTTCTATTCTTTCTGTCTAGTTTAATACATTTTGGAAAAAGTGGGTTTTTGGAATATCTTTCTAAAATTCTGTTAGTGTTACAAAGTATCATTACGGAATATGTGCTAATAATGCAGTTTTACCTGCTCTAGTCTAAGTTTTATAGCAACATTCTGTTTAACCATCATATATCTATAACAACCTCACATATTGAATGCTGTTTTCCATTTGTACAGATGAAAGAGCAGGTCTCTGTGGGCCTGGTTATCTGTTATCAAGCAGCTAAAGAGACGAGTCACACCTGTAAACACAAACCTGAACAGTTTTGGGTCCGAGGTTCTTCTCAGTGCCCAGTTGTTTTTTAACACTTCAAATTACTAATTCTGGCATACCTGCTTATTTTCATGAACTCAGATTTTCTGTAGTTCCTCCAACACATTTGACATTTCAACATTTTTTTCTGTCATTTCAATTTTACAAGTATCGTTTTCCTATTTGCCCTGCATAGCCACTGTTTTTGGTTAATACAAACACAAATTTTGGCTCTGAAAATGAAGAAACTGTTTCCCAGGTGTTTTATCTTTGTTCTGTTATTGCTTTGCTAAGAAAGAGAAACTTTAAAAGAAGAAAGAAAGAGAAAAACTCTCTTTCCTGTTCTGCAAAAATACAAAGTCTCAGCACCTTCATGTCTTATGATTAACCAAAAGAGCGAAGCTACTCATGTATTATGGATACATGAGAATGATTAGATGCTCAGTGGAATATGTCGAGTGGCTCAAGATGCTCAAGAGAATTTAATGCCTTTAGCTTTTGACTCCCCAGAACCTCGCTTTCGGGGATTTGGTGCATCCCCGTCTGATCACCAGCACTTACCTGTCTAGCATCTGAAGTGCAGTTACACACTACAACGTGAGTGCATAGCTGGTTGCTCCCTCCGCTGAGAGCTAGGGCTACTGGAATAACTGACACCAAACGTACTTCTTTCTTTGTCTAGCAATTATTTTTCTCCATCATTCTAATCAGGAAACCAGTACAAAGAAAAGAATTATGAGTAAATGCAGTAGCTGTAGTTCATTAAAATGTTCACACCAGGAAACTTTAGAAAAGGGGGGTGGAGAGATGGTTCAGCTGCCAACATGATGACTCACAGCCACCTCTAATTCCAGTTCCAGGAGATTCAGTGTTTTCTGCTGGCCTCTGTGGGCACTGCATGTAGCCAAGCACTCACAAAATGAAATATGTAAAATTTAATAAATAAATAAAGACAGAGAGAGAGAGAGAGAGAGAGAGAGAGAGAGAAATAAATAAATACATAAGTTTTGGTTGGGCAGTGGCATATGTCTTTAATCCCAGCACTTGGGACTCAGGTGGATCTCTGTAGGTTTGAGGGCAGCATTGTCTACAGAGCAAGTTCCAGGACAGCCAGGGCTACACAGAGACACACTGTCTCAAAAAAAGCCACCACCACCACCACCATCACCACCACTAAAACCCAAACAAATAAAAAGAAAACTTTAAATCTGCAATATATGTCTATATATATGTGTGTGCATATATTATACATATATACATGTTTATATATAATGTAGCTACAATTCAGGCTCTCTTCCTTGAATTTTGCAGCATTTTGTAGACACTCGTGTGGAAGAAACAGGGAATGTGTTGCCCCAAACATATGCAAATGTAAACCTGGTTACACGGGTTCCAACTGCCAAACTGGTAGGTAGATGATTCATTAGTTTGTATAATAAATTTCATTTGATAATCAATATTTCTAAGCCATGGGCTTTATTTTTATGTAGCCATCTGTCAACCTGTTTGCAAAAAACATGGAAAATGCATTAAGCCTAACATCTGTGAATGTCCTCCGGGGCATGGTGGAGCTACCTGTGACAAAGGTGAAAATTCCAATTCTTGTCTCAAACATGGAACTAAAGACAGTGTTATTGCCTTGAAAATATTTGGTGCAACTGAGTGCTCATCATTGCTGGGGTAAAAGCTCACAGTTTTAAAATTATTCACAATAATTTTTCTTAGAGGGTTTTTGTTTTTAATTTAAAAAGAAATTAGCTGTATAGGTATTTTTCCTGGATATATGTTTGGGCACCACATGCTTACAATGCCAGTGGAGGCCAGAATAGAGTGTCATAGCCCTTCTACTAGATTCACAGAGGACTGTAAGCTGTTGAGAGTATACTGCAAGATCTGGGTCCTGGTTATCCGGAAAGCAGCCAGTGGCTCTTGACTGTTAAGCCATCTCTCCGGCCCCTAACTTTGAAATTTTAAACACTCAAACTTCAGAAATCATAGCCCCAAAGAGTAATTGTTTTTGAAATTCTTTCGTTTTTTTTTTTTTTTTTTTTTTTTTTTGAGATATAGGTATTTGGGAAAAGTTAATTATTTAAATTACTTTTGTGTTAAATGCAAAGCTCAAGGGTATGAGGTAAAAAAAAATGTAAAAGGTGATCTCAAAAGTATATCTGCAGTACAGTAGTGCATGCCTGTAATCCCGGCATTCAGGGACGCAGAAGCAGACAGATCTCTGTGAGTTCTTGATGAGCCTGGTCTACAAAGTGAGTCTAGGACAGCCAACACTACACAGAGAAACTCTGTCTCCGTCTTTCATCCAGTTAACCAACATTTTTATAAGCCTTTCACACACCTACATTGTGTTTTGTAGTTTTCATGTATAAACCATAATATGGCACTGTTTGCTGAGTGCTTTGGTGCTGTGAATTCATGTAGCGGATCACAGAAGAGTAGGGAAAACAGTAAAAAAGAAGTTTCCCCTAAATTGTTCTTACAGTGTGGCTTTATTGCCGCTATACCTGCATGCATAGTGATTGTTGAAACCCGACTTAATAATATCTGTGTCTGCAGATCACTGCAGCCCTCCTTGCCAACATGGGGGCACGTGCTTGCCTGGCAATCTCTGCACTTGTGCTTATGGCTTTGTAGGACCAAGGTGTGAGACACGTAAGTAAAGCTCTCTTGTAGTCTGTTATAATAAACATCTCCTTGGTGACTTGATGGCTTTCATGCTAAGTAAACAAATCCATTCCTACATAATATTGGTGCCCTAAGGAAACCAGAGTTCCCAGAACTGAGGTAAAGAGGTTTAGGTAGGTGTGGCTGTAATCTGAGTATTGGGAGGCTGAGAGAGGAGAGTCACAGGTTCAGGAGCTGTGTGAACTATATATAGTGAAACTGTCTCAAAAAATAAAATAAAATAAAATAAAATAAAATAAAATAAAATAAAGAAGTTTTCTCCTGAATTGTAACATCTCATTCTTAGAAATAGTGAAAATCAGACTTATGCATTTCCTTATAAGTTCATTTTTATTTAATCTATCTCTGATTATGTTCTCCAGTTACTAACAATTTCCCCAAATAACTAATTCTTGTTCAGTACTAATAATTTTCTACTTTCTCCATCTCTGTAGGCAAGATAATAACTGAGCATAAGATAGCAGGGAATCATATGAAAGAAGGGGGAGTTAGTAAGACCTGGAGAGGACGGGAGTGCCACAAGGACCAAATATATCTGGACACAGGGGTCTTTTCTGACACTGATTCTCCAACCAAGGACCATGCATGGATATAACCTAAAACTCCTGCTCAGACTATGACAGCTCAGCATCTAAGTGGGTTCCCCAGTAAGGGGAACAGGGACTGTCTCTGACATGAATTCAGTGGCTGGCTCTTTGATCAACCCCCACCCCACCCCACCCCATGCCTGAGGGAGGAGCTGCCTTGCTTTGCCACAGAGGAGGACAATGAAATCAGTCCTGATGAGACCTGATAAAAACTAGGGTCAGATGGAAGGGGAGGAGCACCTCCCCTATCAGTGGACTTAGAGAGGGGCAGGGAGGAGATGAGGGAGAGAGGGAGGGATTGGGAGGGAATGAGGGAGGTGGCTACAGCTGGGATACAAAGTAAATAAGCTGTAATTAATTTATTAAAAAAAGAAGTAAAAAAAAAAAAAAAGATCTGGAATACATCTAAGCCAGAGGATGAATCATCCTGGTCTTTCTCTGTGATCAAATTTAATACTAGAAGTACATGAAAGTCATGAGTTAAATCTGTC